ATTGGTAAAAGATATGAGATCAGCATGAAGTTGTTTGAGGTCTGCGTGGGTCGTTCAGAAGGAGGTAGGTGCAGTGAATTTGAAAGAAAATCATAAAATTTGCATTCTCATTCATTTAGTTAAAACACAGGAACAGATGTATCAAATATAAGAAATCTGCCGTTGGAAACCAGTTACACAAATAAAATTATGTATCAATCGGTACCCAAAGGGGGTAGATGAAGACCTAACATGTTTAAAAAATTGTGGATTGTTCAAAACCAGTCCATTAAATAATGGTGAATTTGTAGGTTATATTTGATACCCCCTAATAAAAAATATTTTTGTCGGGCCAGAACATGTGTTCATGGATACAATGTTGGATTTGTAGTGTAATAGGCCCACCGTTCCGTTGACAGAATCCTACTGGTGTTCATCACATTGCACATTGGTATGGGGGTGGTTTGGGCAGTCAAGCAAGAAGTGGGCATCCCAGCGCACAGTGCAAGTCACACAGTGATTGAACTGCCGGGCGCGTGTGATAGGACAAGCCTCATGCTGAAAACCATGGACACAGGTGTAGGGAGTGTTACATGGAACATGTTCAAGTGCCTGTTGCCTATGTCGGTGCCGGCAGAGGACTCGGCAGGGTAGGGGCTCACCCGGTTCAACCTCAATTGCTTGGGCCAGGAGGAGGCTTGGGATTGCTGAGAGGATGAACACAAGCTTCATACATGTCATGGCGGTGTGTTCAACAAGTGTTTCAGATGGAACTGGTTGAGAGGGTGGGTTGAACTCAGTCAATAATACTTGATGTGTAGGTCACAGAAGATCCAGATGACTGATAAGCCAGGGGGGGATGGGTATCAACTTCATCGAGCTGCAAATAGAAATACCACAGATTCAGGTCCCCTTTTTATGAAAGTCTCAAGGGTGACAAAAACCCATATATAGTGGGTAGACCACAATTTTTGGTACCCCATTTTGTTACTTTTGAGGACCAAGGTGTAATTTCGGGACTCAATTTTTTGCACACAGGTGCTCAATAATACATGAAAAACTGGTGCAACTGCCACCACTTGACATGAATAAACTCAATGGAAGCAGTTAGTTTTTCTTGCCCCTTCCTCCAAGTTTTCTGAATCAAATCTTCAATTCACATTCACTGTACAGATTGCACAGCTACTGTGAAAACAAAGGTATCCTGTTGCTTGGTGGAGTGGACAATGGCAGCTGTGACATGTCCAGGTAGCTCATATTTCAACCGGGTGAAGTTGCAAAAGTTTTTTGTGCAGTGCAAGGTGCAGAGAAAAAAAAATCAACTCATGTTTTAAATACACAACAGGGTACAGAAAAGGAGATACCAAGTAATACTTATTTCAGTTACCTTTCAATTTTTTCCTGGATCATTTTCTGTAATACGAAATTTTTCTTGGAACTTTCAGCAATAATACTCCACATGATGATAATATGATGGGGTGCATTGATTGTGATAGGCTTACCAATGGTAGAACCAATAAAACACATGGATTTGTATCTTCCTTGAAATACATTGTATTTATATTGTATCAAAAAACAGATACTATCAAAATTCTTGCATATGGGGTTGAAATCTTGTCCTATTTCTCTTCCTTCAATAAAAGCTTCTTCCTCTTCTTTTCTTCCTTCATTATATATAATTTGAATCATTTTTATTTCTTCTCTATAAGCATGTTAGCAACCTCCCTTTCACACTCATATATTCCAAAGAGACATTGTTTAGTAGTTAGATGTGTTCAAACTAGTCTCATGATCAAGTCATGAGAAACTTATTCGATATTATTCATTGTTTGTTGAGATGCTTATAGTGAATGTATGCTTCAAACTATTTGTACATAGTTCACCTAGCTTCACATCATGATCTCCTTCCTCACTGAATACAAAAACCACATTTTTTTATTGTTGATTGCTCCTGTGGTGAACCTTCAGTCCCGTCACCTGTGTCCCCCAAAACAGGTTATGATCCCTTTGTTGCTCTAGCTCCTGATCCCTAATTCTCAGCCAAATCTGGAATTGTTTTTTTGTTGCTTAAAGTTATGGCTCAGAAATTGGAATTTGCAAGGCCAGAAAATGAACATGCCCATTAGGACACCTAACATCCCATAAGACCTTATACCCTCCGTTCCGGTTCTTGAAGGAAAATTGGTGCTCACAGATCCTTGATGTTCTGTCAGTAATGAATATCTTGAAATATCCAACAAATCTCTTCTTTCCCCATCCAACAACAAGGATAGCGAGACAATTAGCTGCTCCCCAGATCAGAAGGGCTACAACCAGAAGATTTTGCCGCCTACTGGAACATTTTATTGGATATGGCTTGGTTGAACTGTGAATGAATAGACTAAAAGGTTGTATTTCATAAGTGCCAGCTATAAGAAATACAATATAGGAAAAGAGAAAGAAATGAGAAATAGTACTCACCTAAAAGCAGTAGATGGCTAATGAGAAAGAACAACAATGTACTTTGATAGGATAACAAAAAAGAAATGAATAAGAGGAATCTGATAAAGGAAGATAGGTCAATATCTGAACAGCAACAAGAAGAGACCGACTAAAACCTACGATGATTTGAAGAGAGGTTACAGGGAGGAAGGGATCTTGCTTATATAAGAATCAGTAGAGTTGTGAAGTCGGTTTTTATCAGGAGAAGAGGATTGCAATATGAGTCAAAGATGAATGACAATGGAAGACACAGAATAATGATTGTCTTAAGAGTAATTGAGGAGGATTGATAAGTGGGAGGGAGAGGTTGGAGGGAGAGATTTGGATTATGTGATGAGAGAAGTCTGATGATGGAGGAACTAGTCAGGAGAGAAGTCTGACAATGGAGGAAAAAATCATGGGCAAGAAAAAGTCCTGAGGAATTATTCTGAGGGAAAGAAGAGGAGAGAATATAAGGAAAAAGGAATGGTGGATTGAGTAAAGGTGACAAGGTCATAACTGAGAAAGTCCAAGTGTGGTGGTGTCATTGTGAGGGCTTGAGTATTTTGATCTTGAGAGATAACAATGGGATAAGTTTTCAGGGAATGCATGAGTGTTAAGCTTAGACATCAACATGACCATCAAGCTTATTCTCTCAGTCAATCTAGCAATTCAATATGGTGACTTTAAGCCTGTGTCTAAAGTTTTCTCTCCAGTTTTCAATGCCTATGAGCAGAACACCCAGGCTTGACGGGTTCAACTTAAAGAGAATTTTTGGAGAGCCTGTCACAGTTCAAGTGTGCCAATTGCAAAATGGATTGAGAGAATCCAAAAAGCAGTGTCCAACCTTAATAACACAAATGTCAAAAATTGCACCGGCCAATCAACAGGTGTGTGATTGATTGCTACAAGGACTTGTGAAAAGTTTTGGCTAAATGGAATAAATTTCAGTAAAGAATAAAAGAAGTGATGATAAATAAATAATGAAATAAAGAATTACCTAAATAGAAAAGGAAACATGCTAAGGATGATAAAATATGAAGAGAAAGATTGAAAATGTCACAAAGCTAGAATGAAAGACTTAAAAAAAGTAAAAAGGACAGTTAGATAGGTATAAAATATTTAAAAGACACTTAGAGGAAAATAAAATAAGAACCTCTAGGAGTCAGCCTAGATTTAGATTCCTTGGCAAGATGGAAACCACAAGAATATAGTCAATGGTGGTTTGAAGTTGTAGCAACGGTGGGCCAGTTACACTAACCGTAGTGTTAGCTTTTTAAGCTACGCTACACAAAAATTACTGTTAGTGGGAATTTTTGGCCCACTAACACTACAGGATTTTTGAAAAACAAAAAAACAACTTTAGCGTAGTGTTAGCTACCTTCAAAAAGGCACAACTAACACTACCCAAAATCCTGTTAGTGAAATTTTAGCGGTGTGACTGGGTGAACCCACTACACTACCTGTTAGTGTAAATTTTTGCAAAGTTACACTAACAGTTAGTGTAGTGGTACCCTCAGTTACACTAACTGTTAGTAGCGTAACTGGTAAAAAAGTTACACTAACTGTTAGTGTAACTGATTAAAAGTTACACTAACTGTTAGTGTAACTGATTAAAATTTACACTAACTGTTAGTGTAACTGATTAAAAGTTACACTAACTGTTAGTGTAACTGATTAAAAGTTACACTAACTGTTAGTGTAACTGATTAAAAGTTACACTAACTGTTAGTGTAACTGATTAAAAGTTACACTAACTGTTAGTGTAACTGATTAAAAGTTACACTAACTGTTAGTGTAACTGATTAAAAGTTACACTAACTGTTAGTGTAACTGATTAAAAGTTACACTAACTGTTAGTGTAACTGATTAAAAGTTACACTAACTGTTAGTGTAACTGATTAAAAGTTACACTAACTGTTAGTGTAACTGATTAAAAGTTACACTAACTGTTAGTGTAACTGATTAAAAGTTACACTAACTGTTAGCGTAACCGACTATGTAGTTAGAGCATCCGCATTGGTGCGGGTCAAAGCTAGGGAAAATAGCAACGGTGAGCCACGGCAACATAGCAACCGCACCACATATTCACATTGGTCTTAACTATTTGAGAACCAATGATCCCTTGACTGCGCTAGCAACACAAAATTCAGCACCGCATTGGAAGAACTTGTATCTTCCCCAATTGTTTCTTTGCTCTAATTGTTTTACTTTGCTCCAATTGTTTCTTCTCTGATCGTTTCTTCTCTGATCGTTTCTTCTCTGATCGTTTCCCCTCTGGTTGTTTCTTTTCTGATTGTCTACTCTTACTTAAATCAATTATATTTGTATTTTATGTTTCTTCTCTGATCTTTTTTGAAAAAATTTGAAGACTAAAGGATTTCATTTCTTTATAAGTAAAATATTTATAAAGGAAATACAATTGAATTGTTTTATAAGAAAAAGAAATAGAAAGAATTAGATTATTACCTAAAGGCAGAATAAAATTCTGCGAGAGTAATAACTATTCTTTAAGAATAAAAGGGTAATAGTTTATCTAGTGATAGCGGTAATAAGCTAATGATCAAAAGATAAACTTGATTAGTTTTTATTCAATTTATTATTTCTTTCTTTTTAATTTAATGTTTTTAATTAAAGAATTACTTTACGATAATTAGATCAACGGATCTGGTAAAGATAATTCTTAATGCGAGAGTCGGCTTTCGTTTGGATGCTT